AATGATTGGCCTACAAGATAATTTCATCTAATTGCCTATGACATTTCATCATGTTTATTTTGTGTTCATATATTAACATGCTATCTTATTGAACGAAAAACCATTCATACGACCAATGGTCTTGTCTGTAATTTTAAATCATTCGGGGTCCAAGTTAATTATATGGTCTCGTGTGTATCCATCACTCAGTCACATTATATCATAGTGTTCCCTTGTCAATCAGCATTCTATTTATTGACTATGACAATTGAAAGTTCACACCATTCAGAAAACGCGATCCATAACAGGCTTAACAACAGGCTACCCATCATTGATTTGTCACTGAGTAGTAGTGACCGGTGTCACGTTCGCTTAGTTCATTCTAGTGCTGATCGAAGTATATCGAACAAGTCGAATCGCAATCATTAATCTAAGTGACTGGACATAATATCCACTATTGAAATGTTAGGTGGTACAGGATGAACTAAAGAGTAACAGTCCCTACAACAGTACAGGTACACCTTAGAATTTTATAATATAGTATATAGTATAGTACGAATTGTTAGGTTAAATTGCTATGGCTAATACCGCTGTCAACAGTACCTGAAATCCACTTATCGCAGACAATTACATATAGAGATAAATGTAGGAATCCAGGAGACATGATGTCATCTGATAAGCCAGGTCGGGAGATGATGCTTTTGTCAGCTTGCCTACCTTCACTTTCGTCCTCAGCTAATCTTTTACTGGTATTATTTTGGATGTAGATGATAGCCTGATTTTACTGATATACATTCAATCAATTTGGCTGATGGTCGGATTTTCACCTTTATTACGTAACATATTTCGGAAATTGGTTCCCCGACTAGTTATTCAGTTCTATCGTTTCGCTGATTTTCAACCAGCGGCCATGACACAAAATCAGAATATAGTTTCTTTGGTTAAATAAAGACTTTTGATTACTTCGGTACTTATCAAACCTCGAGCAACCTGGTTTATAAAACTGAAATTGTTTTATTGAACAGGGTTTTTCCGTCAATGGTATGACTGGAAATTTTCCTTTATGGTTATTAGAATTTAGGTTAATGATGTCACAGCCTTATGATGTCTTTAAAAAAGATTAGTGTTTTAGTCAGGCAACATAATCCGGTAATACAGCTAATATATAACCCTAAATAATTCATACTACCTTAACGAAAACTAGGTGAGGTAAGATCGTGCGTCAGAAAAGTGATGCTCATTCCAAATTGACATTCGTTAATTGACCACTTACATTTTAAGAATAATAGTATTGGTGGAAGCTATTAGCTTTGTGAACACATTCATGCCTCTGAAATGATTCAGTAGCTCAAATTCACTTGGTGTTGTCTTACTTTGCTCTTTCCATTGTTATTTAGGACTGCAATTAATCAGTCTCATGTTGGCACATGTGCATCCAGTGCGGATTGCCTCGATATGACCTTAAGTCACAAGCTTTTTAAGCCAACATGAGACTGATCAATTGCAGTCCTAAATAACAATGGGAAGATAAAAGTAAGACAACACCAAGTGAATTTAAACTTCACCCCATTGCACAAGCAGTTGGTTATCAGGGCTCAGTAGCTAAGTGGATAACGCGCTGGTGTTTGAAGCGAATGGTACTGGGCTTGAGTCCTGGAGTGACCACCAACCCTGAGATGCAAGTACATCCAGCCGACGAGTCCCCAATAGGGAGAAACGCGCATCCTGGATTCCACTGAGAGCCAATATCCAACTTTGCATGAAAAGACTCAGTAGCTCGTTTAAAATTTAGAGTAGAATTGTAGTACTACTATAAACGTGTTACTTAATCCCATAGTTTACAAGAAATTGATTTATAGTCAGATCATCTTGAACTGATATCGTGATACATTAATTATGTTTTCAGCTATGTAAATGAGTTTGTACTATATTTTAAGGATCAAAAACTAAAACCAAATAGTTGTGATGATTTGGTCAGTACTGAAGCTTTTGAATTTGCTGAATACGTTGATCAACGATTATTGACTAGAATACGTACACTGGTTACATTAATGAAGGCAAATGAACAGGCTGAACCAATTACAGCCAATGTAATGAAAGGTCGTAAATGTCTGTAACGTGAAAATCTCTTCGGTACAATGTCAGTTAAAGCGGTGACAACGGATTCTAATCCACCCATCTGAAATGATAATTGATACAAAAGGTGACATCTATTAACATTGTTTCGGCGTTATATAATAAAATGATTTAATGAAAATTAACTATTTTATATACATAGTACAATGTAAGCTTCATACGACCACTAAAAATAACATAAAATTGATGCAAAGAGAGGTAGGAAAGAGGGTGAAAATGTCATTAAAATTACGGAAAAATCAAACAACACAGTTCAAGAAAAAGCTGTGACTTAAATGTGGAGGTACTGGGGGTCAAGCACAATTCAACTGCTTCAGTTACCCCAAAAGCCGTGATCAGGCTGACAGCGTAAGCACCACCAGTACTTGTAAACTAAGGAAATAGCTGAAGTTGTTGCATGAGCGAGTAGGGAAGAATTTCGATTATTCTCATTGATCTGGATATGCACGGTTTCGAATTGGTTGATGCAGTTCCACTGATGTTTATTCTCTTATTATTGTTATGGATTGGGAGAGTCCTATATATTACTAAACTAAATAGCACTTAGTAAGAGAATTAATTGCAACGACCATGTACAGTGTATTTGGCTGCTTTTTAAAATTACACTTAATTTAATGATGATCTGTACCATCTTGGTGGTGATCTAAAGCTTGAGCTTTCGCACGAGACCGGAAGTCCTGGTTTCGGTCTTCATGTCCGGGATAGTGGATGCGCTTTTCTGAGGTCAGTTGATTAATTACATTTACTGGTAGCAATCATCAACTTTTAATATTTAATTACATGCAAATATGTAACGATAAATAGATGTGTTTCTGCCTTTAAAGAGTTGTAAATCACAAGTCATTTGAGTTAAATAGTTTAGTTGCCAAATATATGAATAAATGTATAACTCATTTTGTTTAAAAATTTATTCGTTAACTTAACTTTTAACATTATTTTCATTTATGAATCAATCAATTCATTGTTAAAACACGCCTGGTTTTTAACTATTGGATTACAGACTTAAACCTTACTAGCATCTACCGTGGCCTGTGACAATGAGTTAAGAAAAACAGAACTTATGTAGAATAGGTTGAATAAAATCTTGATATATATATATATATATATATATATATATATATATGGTACAAAAATAGTGTTTCATAAAATTTCACAACTCACTCCACTGTCTAACCCGAGCATTATAAGTAACATAAAGAATATTGTTGCCCATAATGGTGCGAAAGGTAAAGTTCCAATAGCTAATGGATAAACTTGAAATACCAATCCTGGACCTTTTTTATTTGATGATTGCACAACAGTAGATAAATAATTAAAAAATAATAAACATTTGTAGAAAATCAATATTATCTGGGCTCGTTGTGCCAGTTACTTTTGTTGCGTGTACTAAGGAATTTTACTATTTCTCTCAAGTTTTACGATTAATCTGACGCGTTTGTCTTCGCTCAGTAGTTTTATATTACCTAACATTATTTAGAATTAACTATTGTTATTATTATGTTATTCCATTTAGTCTGGAAAATGGTATTTTATTTTCGGAGTTAAAGTTTTGCTTGACTCAATCCCTTTGCAATTTATAGCTAGATGTACGTATTTGTGTTATTTCAAGGGACATTTCTATTGTTACAGACTTGAAAACCTATTTGTTTTAGTTTATAAAATGCAGTTATTTATCTATCAATTCAGATGATTTTTAGTTGTATTATAAATAACATATTGATTGAGGTTGGAAAATATGAATCGTATAATGTTTATTGTTTCACGTATATAAAAAGCGCTACAATACCAGATATTACTACAAGGATTGGGGACTGAACCATTAACTCACTGTTCACATACGTATGAGAATTTGACCGAAATCATCATAGCTCACTTCAAAAAAATCGTTTGATTAGTTGAATGGTAGATTTTTTAAATGCCAACAATATACCGGAGTAGATTTGCGTTTATCCGACTACATAATCATAAGGTAGTAATGTCACTCAAACTTACGTAGAATAATTTGAAAAAAACTAATGTCGATTATACACTTTTATATACCCTAACAATTAACAGTAAGATATGGATTTATTAGGAAGGATCAGACTTATCCTTATGATTAGGATGAAATGTACTGGGTTTGAGTCCTGGAGTGAATATAAGTAAACATTTATTGGTGTATAACTATTCACTTTCGCAAATATACATATTGCATTAAACTGGATTCAATAACATGCGATCATTTTAACCTCACAAGTTTAATGTATAGAAAATTATATAATATACTTCCAATGAGGTCAAAATGCTTAAGAAATTATGCACGAAAAATTACATGTTTGTCATCGAAAGTGTCCGATAGACTTGTATTCAATCTACCATCTTCGTCCACTGAATTTGTTGCATTCATTTGTCACTTTCTGTAAAGCTGCAGATAATAAAATGGACAGTAAATAATTATCAAATATCTGTTGTGCATCGTACTATATTAAAATTTTAAACTAGTTAATCATGAAAGATTTTGGGCTTGCTGTCAACTACCTCCAGCTGCCTAAAAGCTCAACATACAGCACAATGTCGAATCAGAGTAGCGGGCAGATTGCAACTTGATCGACAGTATCTGACGTGTGGGCGAAAAAATAGATTGGTTGTTTGCTTAGTTGGACTAGCGAATAGTCTGACAGGTATTAGATGAGTTATATATTTTCCCACCCTCATCATTACTGGTTTCCGGTGGAAATATACTTACGTTCTAGTCAGGCTGATAATGTGTGCTTGATATGAGTTGTTGAAGTCCTGTAAAATAGACACTGGAAGAGTATCTAGTGTAGATAGTCGTCTAAGGTAAACTAACGTCCAAGTTGGGGTAGACAGGAAAACTGAGTATTATAAAAATATTTAATCACTGATCACTAATCAGGGATCGATCAATTGTATAAAGTTACAATTACTGTACAAATTACCAGATTGATACATCAAATTCTACTGTAAAATAGATGTTAATGTAACTGAGTTACCAGGGTTATGTTCATTTAGTAAACGAAAAAAGACTACGGTTTTATAGTGATGCTATATTATAGATCAATAAAATATAGTAATGGATCAATCGTAACTCCAGCAAGAGTCTCCTTAAAAACTGTAACGATGATACACGAAAGTTAGACAATCGATTGAAACTTCCTTCATATTATGTCACCAGCTTGAACACAACACCCGAAATCTAATAGCTTTTTAATTGAAGTATGTATGTGAAACTGTCGGACTGTATTAGAAAAGAATTACGCAGATATATGACAGAGAACTGGTCAGATTACAACACAAAAATTAGTATATTAGACTAAATAAACAGAGAACAGAGACATTTTAATAAATATTTCGTTATTATAAATAAACTGTTTCGAAATTTACAAAACAAACATACAGAAGAAGAGATCAAATAAGTAGAAATGTAAAGAACAAAAAACAGAAAATTATACAGATATGAAAATGATCATCACAGTTTCAAAAGAATTAGGTAAACAAAAGACTGAAACGAGACAATTCCATCAGTGTAGTATAACAAAAAATATCGTGGAATATATTTTACTGATGCACATATTTAAGTATAAGTGTTGCGAATAAATTCTTTTAAATAGATCTGTTATTCCCGCAATTAATTGGAAATAAAACAAGTGTAGTTAATTTGCTAAATCTTTATATATTTCACATCCATTATCATTATTCCTGTATCTCTCATTTAGGAATAGGATTAATATGACCACTAGAAATAGATATCTCATTGTGATCTGAGTCATAGTTAAGATCCTTTGGTGTAATAAACCGTAAATGACCATCAGGTGTACGATGTAGATCAGTTAGTCTTTGGATAACCTCAGAAAGCAAGGGATTATTGCCATACTTCACAATTAACTGATTGCATCTACAGAAAAAAGTAATTGAAGAGAGATTATGAAAAAGATGAATGTAGATTTTTAAAGAATAGGCGATTTCAGTAGGTGTCATCTAAGATACATACGAACCATATGAGATATGCTTTTAAGCTATGCAAATTGATCACTTTCGTTACCTACCCTATTTAGCTCCTTTTATATCATGAAATAAAACGAAAACTGAGTATTCAATTTGTACGAGGATTACTGGAAACCATGTACCATACGATCACATTCCTCATTTTCAAAAAACAACAGTTTTTATCTATTCCTTTTCAGTACAGTTGATGAATTTAATTTGAGTGATCGATTGTTTTTATCGTTGCGTCGATTGATAACTCTTTGAAATTTAGGTATTTTGCACTTGATGTGTGCCCCAGAATTTCTTAAGATTTTACAGTTTTGATACTCACAGACTTTTATTGTTTTGTAACTTGAACTCGATATTGATTTATACTCTTAAATCGGATACTTCCCATTAGAGCTTCTATTGACAAGGATCATGATAAAACAATCTCTAATGTAACTACATACTGTAAAAATATTTTTTCATAAAATTCAAGAAAGATACTTGACTTCTAAATTCATTTCCTAACTTGAACACAAACCAAAAAGCAGTCACTACGATGTTTAAGTTCTATACATGTGAACAAGATAAACAGCTCCTACGACACTAAATTCAGTACCCACTAAATGCAACTTTTCATAAGGGAACTACATTTGGTAAACTGGTACAAAATTTTAACTGTAAAAATGTCATATGGGTGAGTTTATTACGGTCAGGACGATTCCAGGTAGATCTTGGGTTGCTGAAAGGTCAAATATACTGTGTCTTGGTCTCAACCCCACATGGAAGGTAGGCTATGTACGTATGGGTGAGATATTTGAAATGAATTCTCCTATTACCCAAGGTCACCGTTCACATATCATGTTTGGGTCAGTGTGATAACATGTATATGTATAAGTTTTGCCCATCATTATTCACTTTCAACATACAGCTTCCTATCCATTCTTATTGTTTTTACTTTGTATGGCTGGTCGGGCAAGCGTTAGGAAGCTTGCAACGTGACTAAACTAGACTGAAGACCATGAAAATATACCAACGACGAGTATAATCAACTGAATTTTGCAGTACAAACAAAATACTTAATGGTATTCTCATCGAAAGCATTCAAAGCTATTTTGCAGAGTTTTGGGCATTGGTGATTCAAATAACGAGAAAGTGGACGCAGCTCTTCTTAGTCCAATGCAACCCATGTCAATCGTTCAACTTCAGTAAACTGTTAGCTCAATTAACACTCAACAGGGTTGCTGAATCTCATTAGAGCCCACAAGTAGCATCCTATAGAGTTTACGACAAAACTTAAGAAACTGTTAACCACGATGATAGAATCTGTGAACACCCAAAAACTGTATCTAGTTTTGGAATTCCCGTTCGACTCAGTTAACTAGAGAACTCGGTACATTACCTAATGTATACTATATGAGCATCATGAATTGATGGAACTATAGAACGTTGGAGCTGCTGAATTTATGTTCTTTTAGAAAAGTCAACGGAAATCTATGCTATCTGTGACTATAAACAAAAATTCTGAAGACTTTTTCAAATCCTCATCAATAAAACTGATTCATCATTTCAATGATTGAGTGATAAATAAAATGGTTTATTTGGATCATACCCAAAACTGATTTCCCATCCTATTGTAAAATGTGCCAAATAACGTTACTAATTCTGTTATAAAAGGGGAAACTGATACTCTATACACTTATAGTAAAACTTGGCACGAACGCAATAGACCAAGCATCTATTCTAAAGAAATGATGAGGCGAAAAATTCATTTTGGTTTTTAATCAAATATTTCATTTTGTTGAATGACGAAATAGTTGAGTCTAAATATCATGATGTAGCTCAATCACCTATTTAAATGGGAAATCAAATAACTAAGTTGTTAAAATTTTATGACAGTATGAAAGTTGTTTTACACTGTGATTTTGTTAGATGGGTAGATATTTTGATGATTACTTAACAAAAATATTGAGTGAAACCATCTTGGTCTTTTATGCCTTCTTATGACTCCTGTTGTATAGTTGCCTTCCCTTTTGAACATACACACCAGGTTCAAGGTCTATCGATGATAGGTTTTGGTAACATATTAACCATTGGTTAGAGACCTTTCGTTGTGGTACTTATGGAATACAACAGAATTTAGATGTGATACATCGACTAAGGGGGGATGGCTGTACAAACATACATACCTTTCTTCCAACTTAGCTAACTTCAATACGGTTTGTTCCAATGCACCCAACTCTAACATATGTTTAACACAATATAGTTTTAATGATGAATCTGTTGTATGTTGTGAGAGAATATTCATCACTTGATTGTCATCAGGATAATCGTTAATGGCACGAACAATAGGATAACTGAATTTTCCTTCAGTTAAATCTTCTGCGAACGTTTTATTTTTATGATACTAGAAATGGGTAGATAAAAAATAATAATGTTGACCATGATAAAAATTTAAGCAATAAATAGGGGTAAGATGCGTTGTAACTAATTCATAAAGTATTGAAACAAATAGATTAATAGTATAGTAGGTAGTTTGAGGAAGTAGATATGAAATCCCGTACCTAGTTTGCGTGCTATTTAGCACTCGTCAACACCGAACGATCAATTAGTTGTAGAGACATATTGGTCCTACAGAGTCAGTCATGACTGAAATAGCTGTGTTAACGTCTTCAACTGTGAAGCTGGGTGATAGGGATTCAAATACCAAAGGAAGCATCAGTATTCTCCGAATTTCGGGTACGCCAACTAGTTCGTAACAACCTAAGTCAGAAGTTTCCTGTAGACTAATTCAAACCGCTTAACAGCTCAACATACCGCACTCGATGTCGAGTCACTTAAACTGATGAACATAGTACAATTTGACCGACATAATTCGGTCGGTACAATATCAGTAAACAAACATCACATTGGTCACTAGCTACATGATCAGGCAGCTGTAAATCAAAAGTACTGACACCCATCCTTTAATAAAATGGTAGTTGCGTAAACTATGAAATGTATTACGCCGATCAAATAACTTTAAAAAAACTTGCTCAGTATGAGACTCGAAAGTTTGACAATTAAATTTTTTTGTTCAGATGTCAACTGAGATATACAACAAAATTAACATGATTAAAAAACCAAGTTTTATTTTTGCCATCACATTAACCAGTATGGTCGATTAGAGGTGAATCTAGAGACATTAACTGCTTGCCTAAACGAAATCCCGATTGGATTTAAACTTGCAACATAACAGCTAGAAGTTATCTCTAAACGACTGGTTCACCACGACAAGTTATTTAGAATTTCTCACACTTTAATGGTCCTGTCAGTCTTTCATAGGTGACATCTTTTAAATTGTAAAAAAAGCTTTCACAAGCTATTTTTAGCCTGAAGACTGATGGATATTCCAATAAAATTATTTCCTTGATCCCTATACTCTGTTAAGCAATGGATTTATTGGGTTCAGTCTTTTAGTTTACGTTGAAATTTGATGATACCAGTTGATGAACTGTTTTGCACTGGATATTTATTTTGTCATCATTTTGAGACTACATACAAAGTACACACGCTCCATAATCCCACGCCTAATGAGAATTACTGTCGAAAATCCCTACAAGATCACTCCAATTTAAAGAGTGTAAATTATAAGTCACCTTACAATTAATTGAATCATTTTGTAATAAAACTCATTGAGACCATATATCTAAAACGATATTCTTATTTCCATCTCGAGGATTTAAAACAATGAAAATGCAACGTACAATGTAACACGCTAGAGTGGAAGTCTAGTTGGAATATAGATTATATTCTTTCAACAAGTACTAAGTAGTATACGAACGAGTTGTTACAGTCCATTACAACAACCTCCATGGTGTTCGGCCATAAGTAAAAGTTTTATTGACACATCAATATTAAGAACAAGGACGATGCGAAACCACAACACTAACATCTTGTGAGTAGTGCAAAACCTGCACCATGCAACTCAAAATACGAAAATATTCTAAAATATATATTACTTAACAAAAGGCAAGCTTACACAACTTACACTTAAATCAACTAAGTTTGCATAATCGTCACGAATTTGGTAAAACAGACCAATCGCATCCAAAAGAGGTTTATAATCTCTATGATAAATAGACAAGTCAGAAGATTACAGACCGCAAGATTTTAAAAAAGGAACTACCTTTAAGCATAAGATTTGAATAGCCATTATGTTTATATATATATATATATATATATATATATATATATATATATATATATATATAAATTTTTTAGAAGACAAATTATATACAATAATCAAGTGTCCTTGCACGCTTTCATAAAATATTTACAATCTACCTTATAAATCTAATTTTAATTACTGATAAATTCAGGAAGTAACCGCAGTGCATAGCATATTTGTTTCTTCACCTTTCTGTAACAGAGTTCATATATTCAATATATTAGGTGACTAAAACAGATATTATATGAGAATGATTGGTTGTAAACATTTACAGATGAATATGAATGAAAGGTAATCACCTTTAGAAATTTTTATGCATATTTTTTGAATGTTAACTAGTGAATATAAAACGAGAATTTCGTTGTATTGAATACTTTGTGCCAACAAGATGCAAATGGATGGTCAGAGGCTATGTGTACATATACAAACATTGTAATTTCGTAAAGTAAACATTCCCTTCTATCTAGTTGTTTGCTTTACAGTAGTAGCACAGAATGGGCCTGAGTACTTCAAACAATATTGGTCAAATTTATACGGTCTTCTTTGGTTACGGAGAGAAAATAAGTTTCCATTGATGTTTATGCTCACAAATATTTACAAGTGTAGTTAGATGAACAACATATATAACTAATTTTATTTCATTTTGACATTAATTTAAATTAACGGAAGAAAAACTAACAAATATGCTAATTATAAGAGCTTAATTTTAATTCTCAAAATCAATACTCCCAAAAGAATAGCGTACTAGTGTTATGATTTTACTTTTTAACATCGCGCAAACATAATACTTCACATTACTAGTTCGGAATCAGAACATGAATTGGAATTAGATGAAAATAAATTCCAGAAAATCCGGATAACAAAAGATGATGGCGTAAAACTGTGAGCATTTGTATAAACTTCATACAAGAATCTTCTACTGTCTTCTCAACTGGGAGGATTACAATATCTACATAAAAGTCTCTAATTGAAATATCAAAATATAAGATATAGATATCACTCTAGTGTTCAAACCTGTAACAGAATTACCAAATATGGAAAGCATAAAATAGCTTTAACATGAAATTTGTTGAAATGTACTCAAATGACAATTAACATACATTATTATTATTAACATTATTATATATCACACAATGGTATCTTAAAACATCTCAAAGCAAATCAGTGGGAATATCTATTTTCTTAATGGACAGCCAGAAATTAATGTGGTATATAACGTTTAAAATATTTAATTGGGTGAAAAACGGAGTTATCTTAACGTACGTTTGATTTTCAGAGAACAATTGCATTAGACGAACACCTAGACTGAATAGACCACCAGTTTCTGGAAACAAAGTTGAGGTTAAACATATATTATTTAAAAAGATGAAAAAAATAATAATAAAGCGCTCATGTACACCAATACACAACACAAAGAGAATACTTGGTTGTGAACACCTCAATAGAAAGATTTGAAAATAGAAAACAACAATATACAATACATCCTCAACATCCTGACTCCTAGTATTCACCAAGAAAGAAAACTATCTCAGAAAAAGCTAAGTTACAGAAATAGTTGTTTAAAACTTAATATATAACTTAATAGGTGAAAGATATGTAATGTACCAACATTTTCGAGTATTATAACAACCGAGCTGCTTTAATTAGCAAAAATATGAGAAAAGGACAATAAGCGAACACTTCAAATATACTAATATCACATCGATAGCTGCACAAATCATAAAATTAAGTGGAACATAATTATGTGTAATTACTTTAGAATACAGAGTTAATGATTTACATATAAATAGCAAACCAATGTATAACCGATAAGAACACAACAATCAATCAGTCAGTCAGCCAGGTACAACGCAGGACCAGGCAAATATATGCATCAGTCCAAGTTGCCACACCTCATTAGCACAGCAAGGCGAACATTGGATTCATAGAAGCAGTTAACTCAAAGATGTAAAAATAAAGGAAATATTTTATGTAAGGATATAATACAGGAAGAAAGAATTAGTTCGTAGAAGGCATAAAGTAATCATAGTTTAAGGGAAGACAAAGAGTGTACACACCTACACCATTGTGATCGATTCTGAGTCGTGTCACCAAGAGTCTCCAACCATTGGTTACGATAGTCACGCAGACCCCAACCAAGTAGTCTGCATCTACCAACATGGCTAAGACTAGAAGTTAGTGACTTCAAGCACTGATGCCACGTTTCGGTTTGGCCGCCCCTAACTTTCTTCCAACCATTCTGAACACTAGTCAGCATTGTGCGTCGTGGTAATCGGTGTTCAGGGATACGTAACACGTGGCCCAACCATCTCAGTCGATAAAGATTCACAACCTAATCAACTGATTTACCATCATTCCCTAATACCCTGCGTCTAACCTTACTATTACTTACCCGATGATCCCAGCGGATGCGAGCAACATTTCTAGGGCATCTGTGGTCAAATACTAGTAAGTTACGAGTATCTTCTACTCTTAATGGCGATGTTTCGCAGCCGTAAAGTAGAACAGAACGAACTGCCAAGCAGTATACTCATCCCTTAATTGATAGATGGATATCTCGCCTTCGCCATAGGTGACGTAAGTTGGTAAAAGTCAAACGAGCTTTCCGAATCTGTGTAGAGATTTCGTCAGACACTGACCCATTAGGGCTGATCAGACTTCCAAGATAAGTGAAGTTGTCAACGCGTTCGACTACTTCACTCCTGATCCTTAGTTCAGGTGTTGACGCAGACCAGTCCTGAAGCAACAGCTTGCATTTAGAGGGGGAGAAGCGCATCCCAAACATCCTGGCATTGTTGCTCAGTGCTACCAACAGACACTGGATTTTATCAGTGTCTTCACCAAACAGGACTATATCATCTGCGTATTCTAAGTCGATAAGTGAACCTCCTGGTAGGAGATCAATGCCCGGAAATCCAGTCGATGAGAGCGTTATTTCCATCAGTATGTCTATGATGAAGTTAAACGAAAATAGAGAAAGTGGACAGCCTTGCCAGACACCACTTGAGGTTGCAAAAGCAGATGAAAGTTCGCCGTAAGCTCTCACCCGACTAGTAGTGTTCGAGTAAAGAGCCTTCACATGGTTTATGTACTTCTGAGGTACGCCTTTCAATGACAGACACTGCCACAGAACCTCTCGGTCTACAGAGTCAAATGCTGCTTTTAAGTCAAGGAAGACCACCATTGTCGGACACCGATAAGCATGTCTGTGATCTAAAACCTGACGAATGGTGAATACGTGGTCGATGTAGCCACGACCAGGTTTGAAGCCAACCTGATTGTCTCGTGTTTGCAGTTCACGAGTCTTTGTTAAACGTCCGACAATTATTGAGGCTAGTATTTTAGATGCTGTATTGGTCAAACTAATCTCTCTATGGTTATCACAGGATGATTTGGACCGCTTCTTATATATTGGGACAATCAGTGACTGCGACCAGTCAGATGGAATTACATTCAGTTCCCAGAGTTAGCTAAAATATTAGTCAATCTAATCGCTAAAACTGGACCATCATACTTAAGGACCTCTGGAGCCAATCCATCTGGACTAGCTACCCTTTCTCGTTTCAGACTACCTATAGTTTTTTTTGAACTTCAATCAGAGTCGGAGGGCTTACTTCAATGTTTCATTCAGGCTGTCTGGGAATGGTGGGTAGTTGTAGAGTAGCTGAAGGCCAGCTGAAGTGCTTCTTAAAGTGTTACGATCATCGTTCTAAACGTCTGGACTGGGAGCAGATTAGAGTGTCGTATTTTTTGATAAGTATGGCGGTGTTCTAACACTTGGCGGAGGGTGAAGATATGATCAATACATCCTCGACCAGAACGAAACCCAGCCTGCTCTTCGCGAGTCAATCCTTCTCGGGTTCTGAACAATCTACGAAGTATGACGGAAGCCAATATCTTGGACACAATCGGAAGTAGACTTATCCCCCGATAGTTGTTACAGGAACGACGTGAACCCTTTTTAAAGATAGGGACAACTATCGACTCATTCCATGACGTTAGTACACACTCTAGTTCCCAGACTTTTGAAAACAACGTTGTCAGTCCCTTAGTCAGAAAGTCACCACCATCTTTAAAAAGAGTCGGAGGTAAGTCATCAGGGCCTGGTGATTTGTAGCGTTTCAAGAGTTGGAGTTCCTTGCGGACTTCCGCCTCATTTGGTGGATCAGTCGTCACCGGCCATGGAGGGCAGGACAGTCTGACCGATGTTGCCGGAGCAGCAGGCCAGTTGAACTGCCCTTCGAAAAATTCTGCCCATCGTCCAAGACGTCGATGGGTGTTAGTGATTGGCGTTCCGTCATCCTCGCAGATTGTTTCGCTCATACCAGACTTCTTGCTGTCAGTGACTCGGATGAGTTGGAAGAGCTTCCGGTAATTACCAGAAATAGCTGCTGCTTCCAGCTCATGAGCACGCTCCGACCACCAGGCTTCTCGGTCTTTCATTTAGGCTGTCTGGGAATGGTTAGTTTTAAGGTAGTGTTAATCATTAAAATATGGATATTCTACTTCGCATTGAGGTATTTCGTAACCATATTCTGGTGAATTCAAACATAATACGTAGTAAAATGCAAAGACAAATTACTCCAAACACTAGCACAGCTACGATAAATTCAAAGTAAAAATACTAGTCTTTATAGAGCTGATACAAATGGACGAAAATAATCACACAAAATTAATAACTTAAGAATATATAGCACTACAATGAGTGGCAGTGAATGCTAGAAGTACTTGGATATATTTAATTTCACACTAATATTTCATTATAATTGTATTCATTGTGGCAATATTTACTGCCTGTTCATTTAATAAAATACTGAAAATATCTTATATATGTATTTCAAGTGAAAAATATGTAAGCAACAGAAATGACTATAAATTACTTCATAATTCAGCAAACTTACTACATAATACCATAGCCTCGTATTCTAATTCTGATGGACACTTAAAAGAGGAACGCCAAAATATATCCATACTTTGTCCACGATGCAATACAAGCATTTGCTCTAAAAGTTCAAATGAAACGATTTCACTTTGATTCAACAAACCAGAATTGATAACACTGGATTTCGATAGCAAGACAAAAAAGTATACAGGGAGCTGTTATTGTGGTGAAGTATAACCGTCCCAATGATAAGACCGATGAATTTACATCACGAGTCAGTTGGCATATATGACATAAAAGTCAAATAATAACTTAGATATATATGTTTATACTTACCCCGACCGTCGTTGCTACCTTGACGTGGTGCTCAGGCTTGTCTATCGTGATGAACCGATCGAGGTATACTGGCTGGAACAATCATTACTCAAAGTCCTACCATGCCAGACAGGTCAGTTGAAGAGCGGTAAGACTAAAAGCAACGAACCCAAGATCTGAAGGCGAAGTACTGCTGACTGCACAGGGGTGTGAAGGCAGTAAGGTGTTTCCTTCAGACAACTAGCATAACAGCAATGCTGCCTTCCCACAAGGAGGAGTAGGGTTAGAAATGGTCGACCCTAAAAATGCACACCTCGCCTTATCCCACGGATATCCGTCTCCAGCGGTAAGGTCTCAACAAGTACGGAGCTAACACAAAAATTACTCATAAAAAGGTCGTGTGTGACCGACCTTAAGCAGCTGTCCCTTGGGCACTGCCGTCACGCTCTCAGGTCACTATGACCACCTCTAATCCAATTAACTTTTCAGGTACCTCCAGGAGAACCCTTCCACGGTGTGGGGGACCGGGAAGTGATAACCGCCCTCATACCTCTAACAGCACTCAAGACCACTGTATTCATTATCAACTTCCTCTTTTGGCTTCCTCCTCAACTGTCACCATAGTCCCGACCGTAGCTGCTACCTTGACGTGGTGGTCGGGCTTGCCTATCGTCATGACCCAACCGAGCTATATTGGCTGGAACACATGTTCCTGAAGGTTCTGCCATGCCAGGCAGGTCGATTGGAGAACGGTAAGACTAAAAGCAGCAACTCGAGGTCTGAGGACGAAGTCGTACTGCTGACTGTACAGAGGTGTGACAGCAGTAAAGTGTTTCCTTCAGACAATCAGCATCTGCAGCGATGCTGCCTTCTCACAAGGAAGGAAGGGGTTAGAAAATGTTGACCCTAAAAATGTCACACCTCAAGTCACGGATTTCCGTCTCCGACGGTAAGGCCCTTGGAAAAACGTAGCTAACACTTTAAAAACCTCCCACAAAATGGCCGTGCGCGACCGACCTCAAACAGTTGTCCCTTGGGTACTGCGGTCACGCTTCCAGGTCGTTAAGACCAACCATAATCCGATTTCCTTTTCAGGTTTCTCAAGAAATACCCTTCCACGGTGTGGGCAGCCGGGAAGTGACATCAGTCCTCATCAGTCCTCATACTCGTAACAGGCCCCCAAATGCCCTGGTACGGCCGAGAGTGGGGAGAGTCCGCTCTCCCTCTCGAAATGCTCTCACATGGCCATGCGTACATAGCCCCTGCCAGGGAAGTCCTACTCACTGCCTTCTCGTGGCTAGGGTGTTGTTTACAAAAATGAGAGGACGAAAAGCGAATGTCTGGCGCTTTAACCGGACCCCAAACCAATGGTGCACATGGGCTCCAGTATCCTGCGGGAACAAATGGCGTATGAACCAATCGTTGGTCACCGGCTACCATGGGACTGCATCTCCTCACGATGCTCCACTGCCTTGTGGATCAGATCTTCAGGTCAAAGGCTCGGGGTGTGGCCCCCTAAGAAAACCACCTGCTTCGGTTTGGGCACCCGAGCAGTATCACAGCCCTCACACATATCAAATGAGATCTGTGTGGCGCATATGTATTTGGTGCCTTCTTGTACCGATATTTATGTGTTAAAATAAATAAATAAATAAATAAATAAATCAATGGTGCACATGGGTTCCAGTATCCTGTGGAAACAAATGGCGTATGAACCAATTTCTTGGTCACCGGCTTCCATGGGACTGCATCTCCTCACGATGCTCCACTGCCTTGTGGGTTAGACCTACAGGTCGAAGGCTCCAGGTGTGGCCACCTAAGAAAACCACCTGCTTCGGTCTGGGCACCCGGGCAGTATCACAGCTCACACACAAATATAATGAAAATGATAATGTTCTCTGAAAACTCGATTCACGCAGCGATTTACCATCAGACAATTCACATTATTATTATTATTATTATTATTATTATTATTATTTACCACTTCATTTATTCACTCTCTCTTATTCCTACTTTATGCATCCGTTTCGACTTAGACAGCAGCTTGCCTATGGTGGACATTCAGCTTTATCTAAACGTTCTCGAGTCACTGCCTGGTTGAAAATTGTATGTTACCATCAAATAAGAGTACTGAAGCAGTCTTTCTGAAACCACGCGCACCATTCAAACTGGCTGCCTTCAACGTTCGCACACTAATGCAAGTCGGACAACAGATAGGGCTGGCTATGTCTTTGGAAAGTCTTAATATTGACGTTTGTTGTCTATCCGAGACCCGTATTCAAGACTATGCTGAAGTACTACAAGTTCGCTCTCCATCTGTCACTTCAAAAAGCTTGTTTTATGTGCGTTTATCCGGGGACCCTGTGGCATCTTCGTCTGGTCTTGTTGGCGTTGTTGTAGCACTAAGTGCTAGAGCTGAGGCAGCACTAATCGATTGGATCCCCATTAACAGCCGGTTATGTGCTGTTAGATTAGAAAGTACCATCAAAGTGAGAGGAAATCGGCGTGAGAAACGATGTCTTTTCGTCATCACCGCCTATGCCCCGACAGATTGCAGCCCGGATGCAATCAAGGATGAATTCTACCACCAGTTAACTGTTCTTCTCCAGAAAGTGCGTTTGACAGATATTGTGGTACTAGCCGGAGACTTGAATGCTCAGGTCAGGCGTCTAGGCACAGAAGAGTCGTTTAGGTGGCCGATGGGGACTTGTTGGTCGCAGGACAGATAACGGGGACCGCATACTGCAACTGTGCACAGACCACAACCTGTTTATGGCTAGCACTAACTTTTGGCACAGTCATCGCCGATGTGCCACCTGGCGTCCCCCCTCGGCATCTCAAGCCTGGACTCAGATTGATCACATCGCGATCGGCTACCGCTGGTGTGATTGTGTACAAGACTGCCGCTCCTTTTGGGGTCCTGGCCTGCGCCAATCTTACCTTACTTTTCAGTGGCCAAAGAAGTGACCGCCACCAAAAGATTGATGTTAGCAAGTTCGTTGCAACTTCTGTTGCTAGTAAGTACCGAACCGAGCTAGCTTCTAGGCTAGCTACCATTCCACCGAAAAGTATAGATGAGCATTGGTTGCAACTTCATGACGCCATGACAATGGCGGGCAAAGTCAGTTGTGGGTTCACGAAACGTCCGGCTTACAATTACTGGGTTTCTTCTGGTTCCTTACAACTCATGGAAGCCCGTCGGTCTACTCCGGGTGACCGTGAGTTTGACCACAAACGAAGGATATTACGTACTGAAATTGGACAAAGCTTGCGTAAGGAACGAGAAGCCTGGTGGTCGGAGCGTGCTAATGAGCTGGAAGCAGCAGCTACATCTGGTAATTATCGGAAGCTCTTCCAACTCATCCGAGTCACTGACAGCAAGAAGTCTGGTATGAGCGAAACAATCTGCGAGGATGACGGAACGCCAATCACTAACACCCATCGACGTCTTGGACGATGGGCAGAATTTTTCGAAGGGCAGTTCAACTGGCCTGCTGCTCCGGCAACATCGGTCAGACTGTCCTGCCCTCCATGGCCGGTGACGACTGATCCACCAAATGAGGCGGAAGTCCGCAAGGAACTCCAACTCTTGAAACGCTACAAATCACCAGGCCCTGATGACTTACCTCCGACTCTTTTTAAAGATGGTGGTGACTTTCTGACTAAGGGACTGACAACGTTGTTTTCAAAAGTCTGGGAACTAGAGTGTGTACTAACGTCATGGAATGAGTCGATAGTTGTCCCTATCTTTAAAAAGGGTTCACGTCGTTCCTGTAACAACTATCGGGGGATAAGTCTACTTCCGATTGTGTCCAAGATATTGGCTTCCGTCATACTTCGTAGATTGTTCAGAACCCGAGAAGGATTGACTCGCGAAGAGCAGGCTGGGTTTCGTTCTGGTCGAGGATGTATTGATCATATCTTCACCCTCCGCCAAGTGTTAGAACACCGCCATACTTATCAAAGGCCAACAATCGTAGTGTTTCTTGATATCAGGGCTGCTTTCGATTCGTTGGACAGAACTGTTCTCTGGGATTGTCTATTGAAGAAGGGTGTGCCTGAGAAGTTTATTAACATCCTAAAAGCCCTATCTACAAACACCTCAGGCAGAGTGAGGGCATACAACCACCTCTCTCCATTGTTCCATTCGAACAGTGGGGATAGGCAGGGTTGCCCAATCTCACCATTCCTCTTCAAATTTGCCATCGATGACATTCTGGAAACAGCTCTGATGGATGTAAGTAATGGCGGTGTGGATCTGTTGCCTGGAGAAAGACTTCTCAACCTTGAGTATGCGGATGATATTGTCTTACTGTGCGAGAATGCTCAAGCTATGCAATCCGCACTTAATCAGTTGGCAATCAGTGTCCGTAGGTATGGTATGTGCTTTGCACCCTCGAAGTGCAAAGTTCTTCTACAAGATTGGCAGGATTCTAATCCTGTACTCACTCTGGATGGTGAGCAGATAGAAGTAGTCGAGAAGTTCGTGTATCTGGGTAGCTGTATAAGTGCTGGTGGTGGTGTGAGTGATGAGATCAATTCACGTATAGTGAAAGCCAGAGCGGTTTATGCCAATCTGGGACATCTTTGGCGCCTTCGTGATGTTAGTCTGGCTGTAAAAGGTCGGATCTACAACGCGACGGTGAGAGCAGTTTTGCTTTATGCTTATGAAACCTGGCCTCTCCGAGTTGAGGATGTTAGACGACTCTCTGTGTCCGATCATTGTTGTCTCCGAAGGATTGCTGACATCCAGTGGCAACACCATGTTAGTGATGCAGAGGTTCGGCATCGTGTGTTCTGGCACAGAGACGACAATCCAATTGGTGTCACCATCTTGAAACACCGACTTCGGTGGCTTGGACATGTTCTACGAATGTCGTCCCGGAGAATTCCACGTCGTGCATTATTTGCCAACGCTGGGACTGGTTGGAAAAAGCGGAGAGGTGGTCAGTATATGACATGGTGTCGTGGTATGAAAGAAAGCTGCAAAGGGCTGGCTTGTGTCGGTCCTTCACGACTCCCTGGCTGGGGTCCGAGAGATGGTGTAACACAGTGGCTAGAGACGTTATCAGGTATGGCTCAGAATAGAAGCCAGTGGCGATCCTGCTGTAACCTTCTTTTAATTTCTTTGTAAAGAGTGGTTGCTTCTTCCTTAACTGTGAGATTCCTCTGATTGTACCTTTTCGTTTCCCTCATTTTTTTATAATTCCCTACGTTCCTTACATTTTTTTTCCTTCTCTTTAAATTCTCATTGTTTTGTGTGGCGCATATATATTTGGTGCCCCCTTGTACCAATATTTATGTGTTCAAATAAATAAATAAGGTGACTCGACACTGCGTGCACTATTGTGAGATTAAATGGTGGTTGAAGTTAGTCGACAGGAAACCCTGGACCCGCGTTTCATGCTACTTGGCACTCATCAGGCTCTGAACACGATGATGAACGAAAGCAAATCAGATCTAGGTTAACCAAAAGTCTAAGGAATGATCGTGAGCAGTGGTGGGTAACGAAAGCAAAAGAGATGGAAAAGGCGACGGCTATAGATAACACCAGACAGCTCTTCGGACTCATAAAAGAAACTGGAATTAAACAGTCAAGTGTAAGTGAGACTATCTCGGAAAAATACGACACTCTAATCTGCTCCCAGTCCAGACGTTTAGAACGATGATCGTAACACTTTAAGAAGCACTTCAGCTGGCCTTCAGCTACTCTACAACTACCCACCATTCCCAGACAGCCTGAATGAAACATTGAAGTAAGCCCTCCGACTCTGATTGAAGTTCAAAAAAAACTATAGGTAGTCTGAAACGAGAAAGGGTAGCTAGTCCAGATGGATTGGCTCCAGAGGTCCTTAAGTATGATGGTCCAGTTTTAGCGATTAGATTGACTAATATTTTAGCTAACTCTGGGAACTGAATGTAATTCCATCTGACTGGTCGCAGTCACTGATTGTCCCAATATATAAGAAGCGGTCCAAATCATCCTGTGATAACCATAGAGAGATTAGTTTGACCAATACAGCATCTAAAATACTAGCCTCAATAATTGTCGGACGTTTAACAAAGACTCGTGAACTGCAAACACGAGACAATCAGGTTGGCTTCAAACCTGGTCGTGGCTACATCGACCACGTATTCACCATTCGTCAGGTTTTAGATCACAGACATGCTTATCGGTGTCCGACAATGGTGGTCTTCCTTGACTTAAAAGCAGCATTTGACTCTGTAGACCGAGAGGTTCTGTGGCAGTGTCTGTCATTGAAAGGCGTACCTCAGAAGTACATAAACCATGTGAAGGCTCTTTACTCGAACACTACTAGTCGGGTGAGAGCTTACGGCGAACTTTCATCTGCTTTTGCAACCTCAAGTGGTGTCTGGCAAGGCTGTCCACTTTCTCTATTTTCGTTTAACTTCATCATAGACATACTGATGGAAATAACGCTCTCATCGACTGGATTTCCGGGCATTGATCTCCTACCAGGAGGTTCACTTATCGACTTAGAATACGCAGATGATATAGTCCTGTTTGGTGAAGACACTGATAAAATCCAGTGTCTGTTGGTAGCACTGAGCAACAATGCCAGGATGTTTGGGATGCGCTTCTCCCCCTCTAAATGCAAGCTGTTGCTTCAGGACTGGTCTGCGTCAACACCTGAACTAAGGATCAGGAGTGAAGTAGTCGAACGCGTTGACAACTTCACTTATCTTGGAAGTCTGATCAGCCCTAATGGGTCAGTGTCTGACGAAATCTCTACACAGATTCGGAAAGCTCGTTTGACTTTTACCAACTTACGTCACCTATGGCGAAGGCGAGATATCCATCTATCAATTAAGGGATGAGTATACTGCTTGGCAGTTCGTTCTGTTCTACTTTACGGCTGCGAAACATCGCCATTAAGAGTAGAAGATACTCGTAACTTACTAGTATTTGACCACAGATGCCCTAGAAATGTTGCTCGCATCCGCTGGGATCATCGGGTAAGTAATAGTAAGGTTAGACGCAGGGTATTAGGGAATGATGGTAAATCAGTTGATTAGGTTGTGAATCTTTATCGACTGAGATGGTTGGGCCACGTGTTACGTATCCCTGAACACCGATTACCACGACGCGCAATGCTGACTAGTGTTCAGAATGGTTGGAAGAAAGTTAGGGGCGGCCAAACCGAAACGTGGCATCAGTGCTTGAAGTCACTAACTTCTAGTCTTAGCCATGTTGGTAGATGCAGACTACTTGGTTGGGGTCTGCGTGACTATCGTAATCAATGGTTGGAGACTCTTGGTGACACGACTCAGAATCGATCACAATAGTGTAGGTGCATACACTCTGTCCTCCCTTAAACTAAGAGATTAAAATCGCTTCATGTCTTTCTTTCTACGAACTAATTCTTTCTTCCTGTACTATCTCCATATACGCAATCTTTCTTCTATATACTACTACCTTTGATGTGACTACTTCTATGAATCCGGTGTTTATCTTGTTGTGCTAATGCGGTATGGCAACTTGGACTGATGCATATATGTGCCTGGTCCTGCGTTGTACCTGACTGACTGATATATATAATTAAAATCTCTGTCCTCGAGAAGTTATTTTAGAATAATTAGTTTGGATTATACCAAAAAACCGTTCAAAATTATTCTAGCATATCAGTCGACAGTGTACCGAATAACTCAAGTCACCACTTTAAATAACTTCATATCGCACCAACGATCAATAAACCAAACCTTCTTTTATAGTTTACAAACGAGACTGTTAGTTCAATGCAGAAATATTTGGCTCAGAAATACTTTTGAAATGAATACGAGAAATAACAGCTTCGAGTGAATGAAAAGTGTTCAGATACCAGGCTCAGCTTATGAAAGTACTGAAGTGTACGTTTTCGATAAATTAATGTTAACCAGAGATATTACGTAGAACAACGAAGTTGTCGAAGAGAAAAATCTAACTGGTATAAGTGGTGAAACCCAGGACATACCACTTAAGTTGCAAGTTATCCAATACAGTGAAAGTTTCAAAAATTAAAAGAATCAAATAAGATAAGAGATTCACAATAGAATTGAAAAATAACACGAATCTTATAGTTTACACTGCTGAATGATCTTAATCATTGACAAACAGAAAGCACTGGACAGCGGTTTTGTTTTGGTGTTAGACTTACTAACAGCGTAGATTCACTGCATTGAAAAGATAGAACCCAGGACAATCAATCCTCACGAGGAGTACTTAGACGTCAGACAACTGGCCCGACACACCCAGTGATTTACGTGACCTAACTATAATGGATTTGCGATACTGAGAGATCATCATTCATGGTCAGTGGTGATTATTTACTAATTTATTTTAACACAGATATTGGTACAAGGAGGCACCAAATACATATGCGCCACACAAATTACTTAATTTGTGTGAGGGCTGTGATACTGCCCGGGTGCCCAAACCGAAGCGCGTGGTTTTCTTAGGGGGCCACACCTGGAGCCTTCGAACTAAAGGTCTGACCCACAAGACAGTGGAGCAACATAAGGAGATGCAGTCCCATAGTAGCCGGTGACCAACGATTGGTTCATACACCATTTGTTCCCTCAGGATACTGGAGCCCATGTGCACCATTGGTTTGGAATCAGGATTTTCCAACTCCCCTATGTGGACTCTCCATGTCCACCAACCCGGTTAAAGCACCGGACATTCGCTTTCCGTCTTCTCAATTTTGTAAACACCCCCACCACGAGAAGGCAGTGAGTAGGACTTCCCTGGCAGAGGCTATATACGCGTGGCCATGTGAGAGCATTTCAAGAGGGAGAGCGGACTCTCCCCACTCTTGGCGGCACCAGGGCATGTGGAGGCACCAGTGGTGATGTTTGTCTTAAACGCGATATAGTTAAACTCCAAAAATTACTTTTCAATAAAACTCCTGGAATTACCACCTGCACTTAGTCACTAATGAGCACATGATTATTATTACTATAAGGGTTTATAGACTGCTAAATTTCGTCATTTTATTTTACGGAGACCTGAAGGTCTTTGCCGTCTAAGACAATTCCGAGATTAAAGTCATGAAATTCAGAGATTTACACAAACGCCTGTAGAAATAATAACATCAACTGACGTTCCGTAGTTAAAGTTTAGTCATTATCAACATCTAATCAATATACAATCACACCAACCAAACATTTCTTAGAAAACATAACTATCAATCACCTGTAAATATTTTTACCGATTCAGGACGTTCTAGTAGAGATAATTTTTCTAGAGCAAGAAAATAAGCATAGTTTGCGGAATTGATAGACTGTGCGACTCCAAAAATACAATGAGCAGCTGGTTTACCACGCCGGAAGTGGGAACCATCTTCAATGTCATCAATACTAAAAATTAATTTGAATCAAAAACGAATTTTTATCATTATAAAGACCAAAACAATCAAAACAAACCGACTTCCCCATCATATATATATATACCTCGAGATCCATACTAAGTTTGAATGGTTGATAAATCAAAAGAAAACTCAAAACAACGAGACGTCCTCTTTCTAATCTACTAAGATATACTTATTAGGCTGAAATTCACAAATTACTTTTTAAAGATATAGAAATTATCAATCTTTCCACCGAAAAATCACAATGGATTCTAGGCAGCTCCTAACTTTACACAACCTTTATGAGCAAATCTACATATGAACAAGATTTCAAGTATGACCGAGATGAATTTGGAAAATACTTATACGACATTTTATCGGAGTCGAAGATGAAATATACAAATATTGATTACATGAACAAATTCCTTTTTACGAAGTATGGGTTAATGTACTTAATTTTGAACTAAGAGACTTGTATGAGGGCTAGTGATAAAACCCAGTTGTCTAAGTGTAACGATATTTGACTCAGTAGTTAACAAGCAACTGAACCACTGAATTATCACCACACAAAATTAAGGAAAATATAAGTTAATACTGTTAACTACAAATTGTCTTATCAGCTTTTTCAAAACACGATCAAACTTTGTACAGATGTACTATACAAACATCCAACTTAAATAGCGCATTCTTATGAGCTATTTAATGGCAACAGTGGATGATTGGTCAAAATATCAACCATAGGACTACCCACAGCAGAAGCCTGACTACTGTATTTTTCCATGTATATATATGACGGAACTGTAAACATTCCTATGGCAACTAATTTGAGGCTATTCAAAGAAATTGCCCAAATAGCATATAAGCTTACAATTACCATAACTAGAAACGACCAGAAAAAAGATGGAGGAATGCAAACTCAGATCATAGTGAGATGAAGGAATCGTTACAGTAATGCTATGTAAGTTGGATGGAAACTCACTGATATTTAGTTCGAAAAGGAATAGAAGTAATCAAAGACGATGACACAACTTGGATGAGTCATATCAGTGTGAACAACACAAAGTGTAGGATTTGCTTTCTACAGTATGTAATCGATACGAAAAAACCTATAGCATGAGTGACATCAGTGGGTCTCATGTATGAAACTAGCATTACCCACTTCGGCATAGAGTGGGGTAAGTAACACGAATCCACAAAGCTATATTTCATAAATGAGATTTGATTAAAGTAGTTCACTGGAATATGACAGAATTTTCAGAAAACCAATAGAAACTAACCAAAACCGACTCGTCACATATAAATAATCAGTAACAATCAGGATCTTAGTATATTACTCAAGAACTTTGTATAAACACAATAGTTAGGTGAGTTTCGCCTAAAATGTGCTAATAAACATGTAGACAAAGTTTTGGAATAAGGCGTTTTTAATTCAGGAGCACCATCTTTACACACGTACCGATGGGTCGGCGATGGCTCTCAACCATAAACTGATTTCAGACTCACCCCACAATTGACTCATTCTAAACATTCGAGCGGGGCTTCCAGGCAAAAAAGCCAAACTAAGGTTGAGCACCTGAATCTGAATTTGGTTTCTGAGTTTTATTTAGTAATATATTGGTGTTTGAAATCAGAAATCGTTAAAGCTAATTCAGGCGACCGCCTCATCCTACATGTAGCTTAGAAATTACTGGCACGAGAAACCCGTAGCCATGTACAAAATGTGATTGATAGTGTTCAATCACAGTAGCACGTGTGCATACTGTTTTCATTTCTAGATTTAAGGTCTCATTATCCAAGCTTTTTATTCGTCCTAACTATTCTTATTTGTTCTATCCTAGGAGTCTTACTTGGTGGAAACATAGAATTGTACCTCATCATAATATTGTACGTGCAAAAAAACATAACGATCAATAGGGTACACGTCTTTCATTCCACACAAAACTTGATTTCGACAGTAAAGTGACATAGTTTTGGTGCAATTTTCGGGACCCTTCAGACTTCCATTACTTCATTATCTTGAAAACTGGGGAGTGTAGTGATGTACAGTGTTATTATCAACATCGAATGATATATTGTATACAACACCCATATATTTAAGTAACCTACGGACTAGTAAGTGCGTTAGACTTACAAGTCTGTGATAGAAACGACTAAATCCCAGATTCGTAAATCACCAATTTGCTAAAGAATACTTACATATATCTATGTGTATGCTAGATATGACTCTGGTAACTGCAATTAACTCATGAAAAGACTTACACCAAACTAGCGTTGTGTAGCATTTGGACTACACTCGATATGATACTCAAAACACTTTCAGGAACTTTTAGCCAGTAATTAAAAGCTGCCACCAATGTACTGCGAATTCCTTTCCCATTTGTACTACACATGTAACTATATGGTTCCATAGCCACCTGCAGTACATGAAGAAAACACTGGAACTTACTTTTTCAGCAGTCTTGTCAAATTCAAGGCCACTTTTTTTTGCATCCATTGCTGATTATTTTTGTCTCGCTCGGTGGGCACAAGTTAAAGGCAACGCTCGGTTGTTGGAATCTGCAGAGCACTTGAAGGTCAAATGTCATAAAACGATTGGCGCGTCACCTTGACAATTCGTAGGGTTTTGCAGAAGTGGTCAAGGCAAGACGGTTTTAGATTTGGTTTGGGTTCAGCCACACTGCCTGATACCGTCCATCCTTCAAGTAACAATCGTGGTGCCATTGTAATGATGCATGATGTAGGACGAATCTTCAATTTTGCTAATACGATTTACCAGTTGAGATGACTTCAAGACCTGCAAGAAAGAGGTATGGAAGGTAATACGACTTCTGTGGTAAATAACTCTTTGTAAAATATACCTACAGTGAGTATGTCATATCGGCATGTAGAACTAGTGAATTTGACCCAACTCTATTAATTTTTCGTCAGATTCTATGAACGGCGCGTTTAAAAAAAGGCAGTGATTTAGTATTTGTTGTGATTATCTTTGCTTTTATGCTTTTGTTGCATCAAAAAGCATTCTTGGACTACTTTAACTCGAAGTATTGAGGTTGAGGTTTGAAATTTTGCTAAATTTGTCTTGTAGTACCTTCTTTCTAATTGACTTCTACACTTGAGTACATATTGTAATCATACTATGTTTTAAACCTTCTTAACCTGACTACAATGGTTGGTAGTACTTATAAATATGGACAGCCAAATTGTTTATTTCCCGTGCAGGAAGAAGTGCAATGTGGTGAGTGCATAAAGTGGTTCCATAAGTTGTGTATACGTTTATGTCCCACCACATACAAAAGATGCTGGATGCCTAACTCGTATTGGCCTTGTATGTTATGTTGTACGAATAAGATGTTACTGATCCAGGAGACTATAAGCCTATCAGCTCTGGCCCGTTAGAAGAAAGATGGTGTTTGCGCTGGTAACACGAGTATTGACAGTGAAATGTTTCAGTGTAGTACGTGATGTTACGGGACGCGTCGAACAGCCGACTGTTACTGACGAAAAAGTGAAATCTCGGTTAAAACTAATCACAAACGAAGTGCCACTTGATATTGACATAGGTAGTCATGCACCTTCAGTTGAAGACCCGGACAATAGGTTCATTGTTCCGAATTGTCCTATGTGGCTGTCTGAGTGATGAAAAATGGACGGCGGTACGGAGAACAAGAAGTGAAAGGAAAAAAGCCATAAATGATACACACTTGATTAGCAAACCGTTGGGGAACTCCCACTATGAGTCTGATAGTTAGAGAGAACTCCACCCTGGTGTGGCTAAGAAGAACTTTATCTCATCGAATATAATTGTGCTTTGCTAGAGTCAAATAATCCTGATCCCAAAATTGGAGAAACTTGGAGAATATATCCGTAGCATCTTATCAGATAACTCTAAAGGAGTTCAGATCAAAAATTGATAAGAATAGGTAAGAAGAACGACGACAGTTCTGAACTCCGATCACATAGACTCCTTAAGATAATCCTAGGGTAGGAGAAGCAACGTGATCTTCTGTTAAGTATTGCTTGTATTCACGATAATACCGACATCCGAGTAAGACATGATATATCTCTTGAAAATAGAATAAAAAGGAGGACGGCACTAGCTGAACTAAAAACCCGTCGACAAAACGATGAGGAAAAATCTCCGATTGATAGGTTTTCGAGTAGTCAGGTCTTGAAAGCGGATGCTACCAAGGCTTGTGTTGATAAGCCTATCTCACTTGGAGATTTATATGCCGATGCTCGTAGTCTAAGAAACAAATTCCATAAACTAGAAGCATTAGTGGACAACTTAAGGCCATTCATACTGGCTATGACGGAAAGTTGATTAGTCCATGACTCCTAAATCACCCCAGAATAATCCGGATATCACGACCTAATAAGTGATAGACATAGATGTAGGAAAGGAGGTGGCGTCCTTTTATACATATCCAGTAATACAAATATCCACTTCTTTTCTTGCGAGTCCCATGAAAGGGAAACTTGTGAAGTCATCAGCTTTGAGATCACTATCGGATGTTGTACATCTATACTCGGTTTTGTAGCGGTAAATAAGTCCCCAAAATAAATAGTTCTGTAAGTTTTCGACATTGGATGCTGACCGCATCACTTTAAATGGACTCACCTAGCTGAAAGCACTCGGTCATGCATCCGCACCAGATCACGTGTGGGAACGCCGTGCTCAACAACCCCTGTAATCGCTAACCAGATTAAACCACACGATCCTCGATATATTGATAGCCTATCAGTTATATCTTCGAACCTCTTCTCTTCTGTCTTTTGATTTCACTTGGTGGGTACGATTCATATTAGGTGTTACTGGTTAAGGCGTTGTCAAACTCCGAATATCTGTGGTATCATTATTGGTGAGCCTAACGTGATCTGGTAAACCAAATTGCAAACCGTGAATCTGTTCCTTTTGGAGTTTTATGTATCACTGCCTTATTTTTATTTTTATATATCGTGATATTTTTCCCCATGTTTTTAGATATATTTCTCACTCGTTCATTCTCGTACTTGATATTTCACAATGACGGAACAGACACCCAAGATACTTAAGTCAAAGACTATGTCCCCACCTTCGTTACAACTAATGCCCTTCTAGTCAGACTTTCGTGCCTATTGATAACCCTCGTGTTATTAATAGAAGAAACCAGACTCGTAGGATAGTAAGTCTTTATTTTTATCTTCACGCAGTCACAGTGGAGCATGAGATTCCTTGTTCAGACAAACAAAACCTCTCAACATTCAATATAAGGTAACTAGAAATATAAGGAAGTGAATGAATATTCGAACTATGCTGTTTTGACATATGCTTAGTTGCTTGAGATCAACTCTTAACCAATCAACCTAAGCTGTTACATTAGCTTCCCCCTAGAATCGACTTCCGTAGGAACGTCGGTTTTATAACCTATCTATCAAAAGAATTTTAATTTTGTTTCCGCAGCCCAAGGGAGAATTATCAACTCGCTCACTGTGACTTCAAATCAATGACGACTAACTCCGTCGGTAATCGACGATAGTCCATGGATGTCTCTTCATTTACCGGCTTGTCATCTTATTTTATAGCATGCAATTTCTACTACGACTATCGCTGACGGTTTGCTAGGTGCTCGCAAGAGAAAGAGTGTGAGAAAATGGAACAAGAATGTTTGAGGAAGTGCCGCCAGCGGGCTACCCAACACCATGTTGGTGAGGCACGATTCTTCCATGCTCTATCCGGCTATCAGGTGTTTACTCACCTGCCTCTTGAGTCGCCTCCAAGTAAAAAGTAAAGCGGAGTCTATTTCAAAGGTAATGATGAAAATCTATAAAACCTGAAGAACTGCTCCACTGTCTGCATAAAATAATAAGGTACAAAATGGAAATACATGAATATAATTTATAATTGTTCGGTTCCACGTAAGTGTTTTGCCTCCACAAAGGATTGGTTGTCTGGGTTGCTTTTTGAATTCAGCGTTACTGCCAGGGTTAGTTGTGTGGGTTCATAGTACATGCTCACAGGGAATTTGTTCAAAGTTTCACTCCAGCTTTTTCATTGTTTACTATTATTGGTAAAATCTAAGAAATTGTTTAGTTCAGCAGGCGCAGCTTGTTCACATCACTCACCTTAGTTGAAGATTCTTTGTTCTCTGATGTGACTTACCCCTTTTTATGATTTCGACTACTATCACTCAGCAATTGTTTAGAAATACCTAGCTTATGCATTCAGTATTTTTTAAAAAATTACCACACACTCATATATCAAAAGTAAAAGATCTGGAGAGTTGTGGATAGTATAACATAGCAAACTACTTTTTTTGAATGTTTTTGTTAGTCAAATAAAATAGGTGGAACGGTATGAGGAATAAAAAATTTGTTTAAAAATAAACGCAGGATCTTATTAGATACATGGTTGGATTTTATTCTACAGCCAAAACTGTCACTATTCTTGACTGACTAATTGGATTTGCCCACCTAACCGTTTTAGTCACTTGTAAAGATTTACCGTTTTTACATGTCAATTCCGTAATTGTTTTGTCAGGTAAGCGGTCTAACAACAAGTATGGTGGCTCGTGATTGAGATAAGCTGGTCTTAACCTATCAATACTTACGTAGTCCGTGTTTCCATGTCTTTCTATCATCGCTTACTATCGCTTACAGAACAGATATCGAAACAGACCTCCAAGTCACAACGACTAGTAGGTTACATAATTCGAAACCTTCATAACAATGAATCACGAATTTTAATGTACAAAGTTTGTGTTCGACCTCTTCTAGAATATTGCACGTTTATTCTTAGCAGTGCGCGCATAAAGGATAAATTAAGGCTGGAATCAGTACAGAGACGATTTACACTTCGTATTCTTGGAGCTGATTGTACCTTAACTTATAATTCTAGATGTAAAAAACTAGAGCTAGACCCTTTATGGAAGAGGAGACTCAAACTAAATCTTATTTTTTTCTTCAAACTACTTAATAAATTATCCTTTACATCCAATCATGTAATTCAATATGCAGAGACTCCTCATTATGAAACCCGTAATTCCTTGGCACTTGTGAAACTAACTTGTTCTAAATCATCTCTTTATATGAATTACTTTGCCTGTAAATTTTCTAGACTCTGGAATAACCTACCAGAACATATCCGTACGATTAAATCACTCCCATTATTTGTACGTTGCATCGATGCATATTGCTCCTCCGAAAATGCATTGAATGCTCTAGCACCCGCAAGTGTATCTCACTCCACAAGTGTTATTATAGGAACTTTAAATGTTTAGGCATTTTTATTAGTGCATTCTCTGGATAAAACCACCTACTCGCTGTCACTTTATGTTAATACCGTCCCCAGCTAGTTTAACTAATTTGAATATCATCAGCAGTATATCACTGTGTCACATGACATACGCATTTTGATAGATCTGTTTGGCATATTTCGGTAATTACTGCTTTGTTGTTCCGTGCTCTCTGTTTTCGTTTTAATTTCTCTAGTTGTAGATATTTATCATTAAATCGATCTGGCACACGAAATGACCTTAATTACATCGTTTATAAATCAACAGACAGTCCAGTTAAGAAATATTACATGTTCCCGGCTGATACATTGGATCGCTGTAATACCCAAACAATTACT